TGTTACTACTGCTTCCCGTATTTAATTATGATTTAATGGTGATTTAATAATTAATAAAACTTTAGGTGTTTCCTTATGGAGTACTACTTGGCGGGTCTTCGAAAAAATTTCTAAAATCGGAATTTGTATAACTACTTCCTCTTCCCGAGTATTTATAGTAGGCAAATAAGCTTTACCTTTTTCATTAGTAACTAAGACATTTCCTAAATATATTCCTTTCCCAGCGTCTAACTTGGGAATATATCCTTCCTTCGCATCAGAATTAGCTCGTCTTATATAGAACATACTTTTTGTCCTCGCCGGAACTGTGATTGTTTCTCGCGATTCAAATGGAACAATTGCGTTGGGCAATATTAACTGTTGCTGTTTATAATCAATTATAGCGGGTACTTGATTGAAAAATTCATCTCCTAAAAGACCAGATTGTAATATAGGAAAATCATTTGGAACTAGATGGAACACGGCTTCACTACCTAAGATGCTCATTTTAATCCTGCCAAGAGTTTGCACTACCTCAGGAGTTATTCCTTTAAAATGTAGGATCTCCTCACGATCAACTGGGATTCCGTTAATAACAGCACTTTCTTTTACCAGACTCGGTCCAGCTTCAGTGTCAAGTAATAAAGTTACAGGTACAGGAGTTTCCTCAAATATTAATTTCATCGTTGCACTACTATTTCTATGATTCAGATTTATAGCGGTTACACGAGCTATTCCGGAATCACTTCTTGAATTGAAGTGACTACTGCCGAGTGCTGGTTCTGATATCCAGGGGTTCCCTGTGGTGCACTCTGCCCAGGAGCCCCATTCCCGTTTCCCGAATTCCATCCCACCAGCCGGGCACAACGTCTCATGAGTTTCGACAGTACGAACACTCAAGACATCACAGAAGTTCACATCCGTTTTACATTCGCTCAACAATCGTTCAAAATTCGTTCGATCTAATCCGCGACTTACGTGTCATCTCCCGATCCACAATGTAAGTTCGGTAACATGATGGGAGCGAAACCTTTTACGTAAGGCCCGTTCGCTTTCCCCGAATCGGAGAACTGCCTAACGCGATTTTCAATCCTGACCGGGAAACTCTACTGAAAATACTTGCGCGTATCAATGGTCAGTTCACTAACTAACCCCCCAGGAAACATGGTCTGTGTTCCTGACATGGGGTCCCATGTCCTCCTACTTACGAGGCCTATTCCTGACTCTCAGTAATACTCGCGACGCGCGATGAGGTTCTGGACATGGTATTACTTCGCAAATTCATACAAATTTCACATTCAACAAATTAGGTTCGCGTTCCACGGACACTGCCTCGCGAAGTCCTAGGACTTTATCGACGACAAGGCATTACTTCAATAACAGCATCTCGCTCGAGGATTGACGTTTCGATCTACTATGATTGAGTCTCTTATGATCACTTATTTTCAACTTCGCTTCGACATCTACGCACTTTGGTCTCCAATCTTTAGGAGAATTCGACAAAAAAAGAAGAAACCTGTTCCCAGGTCCTTTTTAGGCCTATCAGATGGATTTACCGCTACTCGACTTCACGATCTCCCATGATATATTCACTTCACGATACCCTACCGCGAGGGTATCCTGTGCTCCAGGAAGCCCCTCGCATCGCGACCTGTCCCTAGTAGTCTTTCCCAATGAGATCTCTGCGATCTCCTCGCGCGGGGCTTTTCACCACCCTTCTTTCATATACGAGTCTGGAAAAGTACACTCCTTCGGCGGAGGCGGACGACGCTAAGGTATCTGATAGCCTCAATCCGGTTCGACTTCCTATCATAGGAAAGACGAATAAAGAAAACTAAACTAATTCGCTCGTGATCATAGAATCTTCGGACTCAACACTACCCACCGAATGTTTTCGATATGGGCTTTATTCGAAATTTAAAGTCATGAGCTATCCTGAGTCAGCTGTGTACGTTCGCGACAACCTTTCGGACGCGAAAAACAAAACTTCGATCGCCATACTAACGATGTCAACTCTAAACAGAGACGTTTGGAAACGCGACCTTCTCTAATCCGGTTTGGAATGTTCCAGTACATTCTTACGTTCACACTTTCGTATCGGATTGTTCCACGGGTGGTTAGTTAAACGTTGTCTAACCCTTTCAGAAATTTTCGATTCCGAAAAATTAACTACGGTGGTCTACACAAAATCAAAGTTCGAGTCCCCAAAAAGCTTTAAATTTTCTCCCGTCTGTCCTTGGTTCTCTTCGGGCCCCACGTTGGGCATGTACATACTGCGGGAACAGTCCAGGATGTCGAAAATTGTATGCAACAATCGGACGATGATGCCCGGATTTTTCTCAGACCCATGCATTGTGTGCGTCTTTCCTGAATTCGATGAGCCATACATCATGAAGGTCATGTTGTTGCCGTTTACGATACTTTGTGTTCTCGGTAAAACGATATTTCGAAAAATTTCCTCTTGCTTGGTTTGCTCGGGGAGCACGCGGGTAAATTCGAACGATCGTCCGTGCTGATCATCCATTACAGTTATCGAATTGCCCGACACTGTTAAGGATCGACTTGACATAGTACGTCGTGCTCCGACGGGTGGTCGCACCCGCGCGAATACGTTCAAGTTTTGTGACTCGCTGCCAATGGATGTTCTATTTGCCTGGTGGTGTATACTCGACTGATCTTGGCTTACTTCATTCGTGAACTCAAGCGTGCGAGCGACTTTTTTTTATGACGAAGGCGCCGTGTCAGGTATTGTGGCCTTCCTTGAACGTTCTAGATGTTGACTAACTGACGAAGTGTCTCGCAATTCCCAAGACACGATTTTCCGTACTTCACTCGGCGTCAAGGTCACCATCCCCTGGCTTGGGATTATTAGATCGGTCTCCCCCTTGTTTGGCCGATTGCAATGGGTGGAGGATTCCAGTGGTGTTTCCATAATGAATGTGAGGACAGCAACCGCAGCTTTCTGATTCAATGTCCAAGCTCGGAAAAATGTGCCTCCCCGACCGAACCGCCGTGATTCATTTTTCAAAATCGTACGATTGCGTGGTGTCGAAGATGCCGTTTCACTTGTCGGTCTGATCGGGATGTCGTAGACCGATTTGACGGATGCTCCGCTGAGAACCTCTGCTCTGCACACACAATATTTCAACGATAATTCCTTCGCAGGAATTGAATTGAATTGAACTGGATATTTGTTAGGATTGATTTGAAAGTTTCTTCATTCTGCTGCTTACGGTTACTGAAGATGTCT